GATCATAGTGGCAATATACAATAAGGGCAGTTGCGCAGTCTGTTCTAACCACAAGGGTATTAGCCTAAAGCCAGCTGTGACAAAATTACTGGCCTCGATTATCGTTCGTCGCCTCACTGCGAAACGGGAATCTCGGATTAGGGAAGAGCAGGCCAGTTTCCGCCCAGGACGTGGCTGTATAGACCATATATTTACTTTGCGGCAGGTGCTAGAGCAGCGCCACGCATACCGCAGACCGACAATAGCTGTGTTCCTCGATTTCAAGATTGGTACGATTCAGTCGATCGATCGATTCTGTTCGAAATACTTGCGCGGAAAGGTGTTCCCACGAAATATGTGAACATCCTTCGTGCTCTATACTCGAACACTACAGACCTCGTCAGGGTCTACGGTGGCCTATCGGATAGCTTTCCGACCACAAGTGGCGTTCGTCAGGGTTGTCCGATTTCCCCGTTTTTGTTCAATTTCGTCGTGGATTCTATCATGGAGCGTTCCCTTCCGGAATCTCACGACGAAGGCGTTGAAGTGCTGCCTGGTGAAAGGTTAGTTGATCTTGATTTTGCGGACGATGTCGTCTTGCTGTTCGACGACGTTGCGGCGGCACAGTCAACCCTGAATAGCCTGTCTAGAGTGGTCCCATTATTCGGTATGCACTTCCCACCCTCAAAGTGCAAAGTGTTCCTGTAGGACCACCAGTCAGTTTCTGACCCCTTGACGCTTGCTAACGAGGAACTCGAGGTGGTTGATCAATTCACTTATCTTGGCAGATGCGTCAGCAATGATGGGCGCATAGAAACTGACGTCAAACCACGTATTGCAAAGGCCAGAGCTACCTTCCTGAACCTGCGGCATCTTTGGCGACAGTAGGGAGTTTTCCTTCGTCTGAAAGGCCGGGTATACAAGGCCACAGTGAGGGCCGTTCTGCTGTATGGTAGCGAGACTTGGCCCCTTCGTTCCGAAGATCTGAGGCGCCTTCAAGTCTTTGATCATCGTTGTCTGCGAAGCATTGTTTGGGCCGGATGGCTCCAGCGTGTCCGCAACGGTGATATGGGTAAGCGAGTACTAGGTAGTGGTAAACATGCTAGCTCCCTAGAACAGCAGATAGCACTGAATAAGTTGCGTTGGCTCGGGCACGTGTTACGTATGCCTGGTCACCGCTTACTTAGGAGGGACTTGCTTGGTCTGCCAGGTGTAGGGTGGCGCAAGGTTCGAGGTGGACTGAAGTTGACTTGGCAGCTGGAAATGAAGTCACTGACGACCAAACTGGGTGCCATTGATCCGTCTTGCCTTCCGCGCTGGAGTCCATGTGACTCGCCTTGTGCTTGGCTAGAGACTTTACAGGACATGGCTCGCAGTAGATACCAGTGGCGCGTCTGCTGCCGTCACTTAATGGGATTGCATGTTTAAAGTGTGTTTGGTGCTGAGTTATCTGTGGGGTAATGGCTGATTATGACGCGTGGCAGTGAAGGCCGCAAGGAAGCTGTCTCGCCGATACCGCCTTATCTTAGCACGATAGCCAGGTGTTTGTGACGGTATGTTGTTTACACAAGGTGTAGGTGCCTTGACCCTGAATGTTTGCTTAGGGCATTAAGCTTTTCAGGTAAGTCCCCCTTCTTTTCCTCTTAGTATTCTTTATTTCATATGTTCTCATGATTGTATGGCAACGAAGCATCAGTTCAAATGGCTGATGTACTGCTCTTGATGATCATGATTTTAAATACAAAATACTCTTCCTCATCATCAACTCAACTTACTGATATACTTCTGCTGTTTATATCGATCTCTCCGTTCCTGCCGATGATGCTTATTTGGTCGTGGCTATTTGTGGTACTAGTGTTGGCCTTATCCTCTCTCGTCCCTTCTCTTTTTCTGATTATCAGCGAAAGAACAATATTTACCTCCAATGGTGCATCATGGCTTGGTAGTCGTCTATTACTGATGGTAAACAGACACTAATGCTTTAAAGTGGATAGAAGCAGGCTACGTTGTGGGATGGTTTCATTGTTCTTCACGCGATAGTCCTCCGTTCGATCGATACGAAGGTTTCTCAATACTTCGTCACTGGCCCGTAGCTTTAAGGATCCCCAGCCTGCCTTGTACTCCGAGGGCGCAGGTTTGAGCATTTGTAGGGACCGGGCAACCTCGCAATATCCTTATAGCGCACTTGTGAATGGTGGTGGTGGTTACACGACAGTGAGGTGTCGGTACTGCGTACCGGCGTACTACTGATACCCACTCTTTTGTTATCGGATAAAATATACGCAACAAGATGATATCGTTGATGAACTATGCAATATCTTTGCACTAGACGCGGTGGACCTGTGGTTCACCTGATAATGATTTTCACTAAAACTACTACTACCATTAATAATAAGGATATGAGTGAATAGGTATCACAACCTCTAGTTGGAACAGTCACGGGTAAACAGTGAGAAAATGAATGCAAGCACTTAATTGGTTTCCCGGTCGCGTTATAACTGGTATATTTTTAAAAATCAACGATATGGCTGATCCCGAGGACATCATTTAAGAAGCGCTTTCCGTTAATTCTTTCCGTTCTTCTTCGCCACGTTCTTAATTAGCCTCTCCGGAATTGGTAAACGGTACAGGATATGGCAACCCGTTAGCGGGCATACGAGGGGCATGACTTGGTAGGTCGAGGCTGTTCGGATTCAACGGACTTCAGAAGCATCAGCCGCGTATGCAACAGAACCTCTTCCCTACTTCCAATAGGCCCCTTTAGAATCAAGTAAGCTTACAACTGAGTACTAATCGTACCTTGGAGGGGCGGAAGACGCCACAGCGATTGTCGTTCAGTGCTACCGTATGTCGGATGCTTGCGTGATTGCAATTAAAGGCGATATAGTCGTAAGCTTGAGCATACAATTGGTTAATCGGCTTCGGCTTCTAACCTCACATTCTGGATGATATTGCCTGAGTTAAGTGAATCAATATCTGAGAGCACAGTGAGAACATGTACTCCAGTTCCATCCGTCTGGAGATATCGACCGTCCTGGGCAGTCTGTTTAAAAAGCTGTCTAACATCAAGCGAGTTTATGCTTATCCTATCCTTGAATAGGCGGCTTTAACTGCACTTTCATTGAACACCCACCACATGGCCAGTGAATCGACATTAATATGCGTTAGTCTTCGCTTGGCAAGCGTTCTCCCTATAAAAAGCCACATATGTCCGTCTAACAACGCTGTGACGTGGCGGACGTGACTCGCCACTCAATAAAGTCACTGCCCTTTGCTTCATCCTGGCGAAGCATTGTATCCCAGCAAATTTATGCTGTAATTCTGGGGAGCATTGGGCCCCTGTATGACAAAGGAACAAACGAAAGGCCTATGAACTGAGAAATCAGTCACCGGCTCCCAATGGGCGCGATTCCCTGAATTCGTTCCGCTGCCTTGCGGGTAGGCTATTCAGCCAAAGACTCCGGGTGGTGTCCCCTAAGTCAACACTCTACCTCGGCTTGGGCAATCAGGTAGTATCTCGCCCTCTGACAAAACCATGGACTTTAATGTGTTGTGTTTTCTTTTACTATTTCTGTACCTTCGTTTGAATCCCATGGTTTCTGATGGCATTATATCTATTCGTAGACCTTTGAAAATTATATGTATAGTTGAACACTAAACACTAATGCATTTCGACCTGTTTCGCGCACAACTTTTAACCCATTTTCACCATGTGTATACGTATGTTTCTCAAATATGTGAGAAATTATTCCTACATTGAGATGTACTGTAAGGAACATGCTCTTGCATGAGTGCATGTTAACGCTAACTTTTAGCTTTTTTGATATTTTGGGACCATCCTGGAATATTTCCTCAGATGAGTTTATGATGTGAACATGGATAGTAACACTTCCAAACCTAAGAACCTGTCGAGTTTGGTGTGGATTTTCACATGTCCTGATTGCGGTTGGTAGGCAGTTCCACAGAACTGCTTATCTGATGAGCGCATAGTTGGTATCAGTAATGTAACTTTTTTGTTTCGGAGTCTGTGGTGGTTATTCTGTTTTATCTAAATCAGATAGGTAGGAATGCGTTTTCTGATGCAACCGATTGTGCAGGAGCATCAAGTTTTGCTTTAGACGTCGCAGCCAGAGGGACTCGATGTGAAGCTATTGGTGGATGTGCTACTGAACAAACGTTTGGTAAATGACCTCAGTAAATTTTCCATAGCTTTCCTGTGTGACTTCCGCATGCTGCCTTCCATGAAGTTGCAGCATACGAGAACAGGACGAATGAGGGCTTTAAATGATTCCAATCTGGCAGAGGGTGTATGGATTTTGTGACATATGTGAGCCACAAATTGTTTGGCCCGAACTATTTGGTATTGGACTTGTTCAGAAAAGCGGAAGTCGGAAGAATATCGTATCCCAAGATCACGGGTATACCGCCGTATGGACATACTTTTGTCGTCTGCACCTACACATATTCGAACCGGCGGCCTCAGAATTACAACCCAGGCGTGCAGTCCTTTTGGTCACCGGCCGAACAATAGGAGAGTGGAGCGTAGTATTGGAATCAGCTAAAGCGCCTCTTGTACCTTAACAGCAACAAATTTTTCTGTCAAAACACTCAGTACTCTTTCGAGCACATTAGAGCTAGCTTGTTAACCAGGGCATTCATTGTGGCCCTGTGTTGCAGGGTACGGGATTGTTAGCGCTTATTTCAACCGCTGTAGCGATAGTCTGGCTGGTGGCACTTTTACATTTCATGAAACATATAATTACGGCTATTGTGGGATTACAATTTGTTTTCACGATTTGTAGACAAGTAAGGCAACTAGAAACTAGATATATGGGAGCGGGCGGACAAAAGGAATCGTATCAAATTTTGCGCAAACGTTGATTCCGCCCGTTGGACCCAAATTTTATCGATCGAGCCAGTGCGAGCCACATTGGGTCGTTGTTTTAGGTCACATGCGAAACACGCTCTGTTCCAGCGTGTGCACTGTGCCATTATGTCATCTTACCGCTCCCATTTTATAGACCTCCGAAAGTGAGACGAAGTTTTTCTACCTCACCTGCGATCTTCCACCTCCACCTCTTTATCTGGATGAATTCAAGGAGAGCATTATTCCCCAGGTTGCCCTCTCTTCCCTTCTGGCCAAGTTCAATGGAGTCACTGAGAAAGAGTATAAAACCCATCGGGACTCGATTATGCGACGCTTCGAATTATGTCGTCTTCCTCCATACCTCATTCTCTACATGAAACGGATCGTTAAAAACATTTTCACTTTGGAGAAAAATCCAACCATTGTCAACTTCCCTATCAAGAGTATCGATTTCGGTGAACTGCTTGCTCCACAATACCGGATGTTACACAAGTAAGCTTTATGCATCGGGATGTTACTGTTTTGTCTTAAATTTCACTGGAAACCCTTTGTTTGACAGTAAAGCCGTCTCAGTTCCGGTCCCGATTATTCTGCTCGCTCGTACGAGCACATGCCTGCCTAGTACCGATTAATCTTGTGCTTCAAATGGTGGTCAATCCCCAACTTAGTCATGAGGAACCGCGATCATTGATGCGAGATGTCAAGTTCAACATACCGCACAAGCTTCGTGGACAAAGCAGGCTTGTAGGAGCTTGAAGAAGATGGCGAAGCTCCTGCAGTCCTTTCCTAATTGAATGCATCTTGAGGAATGAATTGATGTTTTCTCTACCGTACATATGAAATTCCACTTGCACCCTTTGGTTTAGGCGAATTCGAAGAGAGCATTACCCCTCAGACTGTTCCACTTTCATCGAGGCCAGCGAAGCATCCAGAAATTGGTGTACTTATGTGAGAGATTGCCCAATGATTAATGATTTCATTGGTGCGGTCGCTATTGTTAAGTAACATCCCCGTACCCCATTCGTCAACCCGTTGTGTGTGTGTTGACAATGGGATAGTTCGAGAGGTTGAAACAATTAAAGATGTTTCTGTGTTGAGTAATCACCTGTATATCAGAGCAGGATACGCAGCACTACAGGTGGAAGACCATCAACGGAACACAACACCGGACGAAGACGTCGACGTCCACCGCAGAGGTACACCTACGAACGTCATCGGGTACGAATGGGAAGGACCAATTGCTAGGGTCACGTGCCCATGGACCAATCTGAGCGCTAACTATAATGACTCGCCCACCCAGACGGTCACGCACGATAACGCATAAAACGACACACACACGACTATTCAACGTACACTAAACATATATATGGTCGTGGTAAAATGAAAACGCAACAAAACACATAAAAATCCTGGTTGTTTAAGCTGAAGGAGGGAATTGACCTAGGGGACGCTCTCTGAACATTTGGCTGAGTAGACTACCCGAATACAGGTAATCGCGCTCACTGATACCTGGTGACTGAGTACTCAGTCTATACCTTTTTTCGTCTGGTCGATTTACAAACAGGAACCCAATTCGCCCCACGATTTTTTAGCAACAAGCGGCTAGAGCAAAATGCTCCACCAGTGTGGATCAAGGGGTAGTGATTTTATTTAGTTGCGTATCACATCCTCCGGGTTGCAGTGCTATCATCAAACGGATGTTTGTGCTTTTTTATGTGAAACACTACAGCCGAACCATTTGCTGGAACGGGATAAACCCGAGCCATCCAGCTGGCACCACGAGGAGGTTGTTTGGCGTCAATTCTCATTAGCAACCTAAGCGTTGCATCAGCACTGTGAACTGAAGCTTCACTGCGTTACACCCAGATCACCTAAGGAATGAATGATATTAAGGAGAACCTAAATATCCTAAGCAAACATTCAGGACTAAGTCGTCGTTTACAACCTGCAACAATCTCTACGGGCACGAAAAGCCGGTTGTCGTACGGAGTCAGTTTCATTGCAGTTTTCACTGTCATGTGCACTGATTATTGCCCCTCTGCTGCACAACAGTGCACTTATGATGTCACTTCGATGGGTGAGGAAACGTTGGAACCCGGCGAGTAATCTGACTAGCAATTGAACAACCAACATTTGTCTGTATATCAGAATGAGAGACTATTAATTGACAAACATGTTAGATGAAGCGATTTATTACGTCGAACTGGGATGAGTACGTGGACGAACCACGTTGTAGGGTGGACACGAGCTTGATGAATTCGATCATCGGATATTTTAAGTGTTCCCGACCATAGCATTTCTCGCAGCCGTCCTTTCGCTGGCGGCCCGGAGATGTTTGGCCCGACGCAACCTGAAGCTGATTGACTAGCCAATGAGAGCGTTTCGCCGTTAGGTCTACCAGTGAGAATGATCTACTTTGAAGCCCGCCAGTGAGCGCACTCTTTAGGCAGCCAACAAACGCATTTTCAGGCATCTAGTATTTGCTGGAATACAGTAACTTTCAAGCATTGCTATTCTCTCATGAACTGTTTATTTTAATCCTATGTTTTGCTGCACACATACTGTTTCCAGGGGTTTTACATACTGCCTTTGTCTTCTTATTTGGAATGTTGTAACCGGTCATTGGTCTAGATACGGTCAGCGGAAACCACAACGTGATACTCCAGGCTTAGTCGTCAACCTACGCAGGTGCGTAGATCGGTTGGCATTTGGCTACACTATAGTAATTCCTCTGTTGTTGGTCTAACCGAACTAAAGGAAGAATCTCATGGGCGCAACAACATCGGTATTAGTGAGAGTTGTCGACTAATATACGTCTTGCTTATCTAATTTGACCGGTTAAACCGCTCGTTCCGAGTGTTCGCTAATGAATTCACATGGTAGACGATAAGGCAGAAGAAGGTAACTCACAGTGGGTTTACACACAATCCTTACCTGCAGGATTTTGGTGGTCATACGGAGTTATATTATTAGGACAGATAGTCGGGTGCATTGATGTCAACGTGCAATAAATGTTTCAGGAAAAATCAACTAAGTATGATCGATACATCATGAGACCTCGTTGCCTTAGATTTCGTTCAAAAGCACACGCATCACGATCTGTCGGACTGCTGGTCAGTGGCCGGCTGGCTTCTAACCCAAAGCTTTCTGGTTCGAGCCTGCGCAGGTGCGTGCGACCTCGCGTTTGATTGATGGTGATCGCGTGGCAGCGACGCATCGGTACGTGGTACCGGCTTACTGCTGATACTGTCCCTCTTTTATTTTATCACGAAGTAGCTCGACAAGACACTAGCTCTGCTTGATGCAGCGCTTGTGACTTACGCCGCATAATCAGTTCCCCAGCACCATATGCTTACAAGGTTGTTCACTTTCGTCCGGCGGCATACGCGTATTAGTTTTTTGGGGAACTGAGTTGACCAGAATCAACGGAGCTGCCACTGATGCGTCGGTCCAAAGCACCTGTATATGCACCAGTCGAAGCGATTCTTCTTGGAGTAGATAAATAGCAACTGAACCACTCCGTACAGCTGTTCGGGTGTGGAGGCGCCCACAGAAATTTTGAGAGCATTGATGGCTATTTTTATGAGCCTCTTATGAGCGGACCCTCATTGGTGGTAATTCAAATTCCGTCCGTCTACGGAATATCAATAGCCCATCAGAGAAGCAGCATACTCGATGGGTCTTTGGGCACAGGGTCTTCTTAAGCTATCACAACAATGTATATGACCGAGTCATCAATTTGTTTAGCTCAGGTTTTTATCGTGTCAAATTTTGAGAGATTGATTCTGGCTAAACCTGTTCTGTTTCATCAAGACGAGCGCGCATTCATCACTGACAGAAAGAGCTCGAAGCAACCAATTGAACTCATATTGGATCACAAGGTAGCGAAAAGGAACATTTTAACAGGATACTCTGAATCCAGATATTTCGAATATTCTCATCAGCTGTTAACATAGTCTGTGGGTTAATCGTGTTGCGTGGAAGGGAAGACTACGTTCGAGGTTAACCTATTTGAATTTGAAACGACCAAAGAACCTCACCGAGACAGAGCTTGTGTATGTCTGCACAAATTGGATTTTAGTCGCCGAACCGGTGAAAACCAATACAGTCTGAAGCAAGCGAGCATGGATCTGTCGCTTGACTATCCTGAATAAACCGCGGAGATTTTGTCATGTAGAGCAGTTGAGGATGTGCTGAGGATTATTAGATCGATCAGTGAAGGCAAATGCAGTTCAGCAGCTTCCAGGTAACAGAGCTCACTCGAAACCTCGTCTTCCTTTCTTGAATTGCTTCCTTATGTCCATCAGCTAATCTCGATGGACTGGCTCAGCGTACTCGGAGGTCGCAGTAATCTGATGTTTTTCACATTTCTCCCGTGTGAGCAATTCGGCCTGATGTCCTTGCGCAACCGCCGGTCTTTGATAACTGGACGATTTTCCAGTCGATATCCCGTACTTCATATTTGAGTTCTTTTCACTGATGTGGTGAACGTTAACTCTTTGAATTAACTCGCCTTTCCAGTGTGAGTGCGGTTGCTTGGCTCCAGTGGAATTTGTAAACTAGCATATTGTTTCTGGTAGGATGCCGCTCAGTCTGTGATTTCGGTGCGCAAATGCCCCGGAGTATCATTCTGTGGTATCTGCGCGAACGAAGTTCACTTGTCTGGTCCATCTCGTTAAGGCAGTGTGTCAGTGCAACGCCAAGCTAGTCATCGATTGAACTGTGTTCACTTGCTTCCTATTGGCCGGATCCACCAGCGTCAGTGTGTGTCCGTTAACGCCAAACTAACCATTAATTGAATCGTTTTAACTTATGCGAGGCGTTCGGTTTGTCGCAAGACACAATACATTGTGTGTGCTGCTGTAATTAACGTGTTCTGCTGTCGTGTGCGCTACGGCCGAATATTGCGTTCTACTAAGAGTTGTGGTTCAGTACGGGCCGAGTTGTAACACATTCCTGCAAGATGTTTCCCTTGAAACCTAAAATGAGAGTTCTGTAAGAAGACATTGTAATTAAGACCTTGCTGACCTGAGTTTAGTGCCATCATGTGGTTTGGACATCGTCACTGCTCAATGAGTCTTAAGAAACCATTTAGTTTGATTGAACGACTATGATCCGGCACTGAAGTGCGCTGGATCCAGTTACCACAACTCGAGTTGCCAGGATGACAATTAATAATAATTGAAAATGAGGTTAATTACGGGTAGAATTAAATGAAAATGAAATCAAGTAAGATGCATTAAACGACTCGGGATGAAATGAAGACGGGTTGCAAGAAGCCGAATGCACAAACGCTAATGGCTGCATGATTTCGCCATGTACGTTAGATCCTGCAACCGGTGGTGTAGACCATCTCGGATCCCATCCACGAAAACGGCAAGCACTATCCTGGCCAAGTCTCTTAGTCAGCTTCTTCATGCTATCATGCCACGTAATCGACTAGCCACCTCGCGGTCCCACCTAGCTTGGTGCATCGACGGCATGTTTGCATGCCGATGATGCCGGTCTTACGGAGGACATGACCAATCCAACGTAAGCGGTTGCGCTGAGGCAAACACTCGAATGACACCAAAAGACTTCTTGCCAAAAATCAACTGGCAGATCTCAGCATTGCCCACCTAGTGTTTCCATCAGATATGATCGATACCCCACAAGCACTGGTGGTCTAACACAGTCTAGTGTTCAAGGTCTTCGCCGCAAACTGGCCGGTCTCTGATCCAAACAGTAAGACCAGACTTACCGCAGCATTATACACCCTACCTTTCACTGACAGGCGAATATCTCGCCGTCTCCATAGGTGGTTGAGCCTATGGAAAGCCGCGCGGACCATGATTATACGCGAATTAACCTCCTCAGTGATGTGACCTTCAGAGGTGACACGGCTACCAAGGTAAGTGAATCGATCCACCACTTTCGGTTTTCGGTGATAGCTAGAACCGGAGGTGTTCCGGTCCAGTCCTGCAACAATACTTTCCACTTTGAAGGTGCAAAGCACATGCCAAAGCGTGCAGCCCTATGCGTCAGTGTGTGCACTACCGTGTGTATAGCCATTGCGTCATACCCAAGGAGAGCTATGTCGTCCGCATAGTTAAGGTTCATCTGTCGGTCACGCAGTGGAACTTCAATTCCAGATGAATCTGAAAGAGCGAAGTCATTATGATCACTTCGACAACAGTGGAGGAGGACGATAATCCCCGCTTTCCCATTGTGAGGGAGGCATTTTTTCGAGGTACTCTACCTCTAGTCGTTGACTCAACAATCTGACCCACAAGGCAGTGGGGTAGATGGAGTTTGTTTGAGACTCCATCCGGAGTTTCTGACCCAAAAGGTAATGGGGAATAAGTCCAGCTCGGGATTGTGATTGCAGACCCTTTGGGATCTTCTTCAGACCTTGGAAGATTTAGTACAGTGTGCACGTGTTTTACGGCCATATCACGTTACGCGCCTGTAACCACGGTCAACCGCAGGTGGGAGTTGCCGTGTTTTGCACCAATTCGACGAGAGGCTGCCTGGCTTGGGACGGGGAGTAGAAAGCCAGTGAACACTAGGCGGCGCTTTCTCACCGTCAGAGACAACGCGCGGCACTCGTGCTTTACGCAAATCGAGTTGTGGGCTTATAACCACCAAGTATGTTGTCTGCTATGGCTAGGATTTCAAGGAATTATACATGTTAGCTAGAGATAGGAATATCTCTTCTCAGTGTACGAAGCCTGAGCTTTTATTAATTTCCTTTGGTGCGTTTTCTTGCCATCTGTAGCCGCCTTCAGTCATCGACCTTAACCTTTCAAACACCTTAGAAATCAATCCCAGTCCGATTTGACGCTTACCCCACACAATCTGTGTTATGTAAACGTTTGGGTTTGAAGAGTTTACCGAAAAGAATTCTTAACCCTGAACTGATTTCTGGTCTTAATTCGTATGACCCCTAACCAGTGACCTGTCTAGTATGAGTGGCTTTGAAGGCATTTAGGTCGCGCAGGTAAGCAAACCATGGCATCGCGTTAAGGTCCAGTCTCGTCGCGTTGATTAACGACCAGTCGGTCTTATCTAAATGCGCTTTGAGTGTATTGCTCACGTATCTTGTGACCAAATGTCCCCTCTCGTCATTGCTAATAATTACCATGGTGACATATTGCACTCTGGCGTTCGGATCGTAAACATCGAATTGATCCGAGGTAATCACTTCCAAACGCCGAATTGAACTAGTGAACTCAGAATTTGGATGACTCGCAGAAAGTGGTTTTCAACATAAGTCTAAGTGCAGTTATGCATATAATTACAAACGCTACCCTCTGAGGCCCAATACTAGGTCTATACATTTTTAGGTCGCATGTATACATTGAGAATTTGATATCTTAGCGCTCTTTTGATACTCTGAAATTATGCAATTCACCTACTTTACCTATCGGCACTAAATAGTGGTTCTTCTCACAACGGACTTTCTTAATGTTTAATCCCACTTGCGATTTTATTCCCTCCTCGACACTGATGATAAGGTTTCAGCTATACGCCGTAACGGCGCTACGCTGTCGCACGTGGGCTGGGTATACCGCGAAGACGCCCGCCCCTACACGGATTCGAATCGGTGACCGTAGGATTGCAAGTCAGGCGTGCAGACCACTCGGTCACGGGCCGACACTTCTCGATACAACGGACTGATAACTCGTCAGCAACCCCACCTCTGGCAGAAAACTGCCTACTTTGGCAGTTGCATCGGAAACGACGGGCGCATAATAAATGAAATCAGTTCACGGATTGCAAAAGTCAGAACTACCTTTTTGAATCTGCGACATCTGTGGCCTCAGAAAGAGGTTTCCCTTGATCTGGAAGGCCGTGTTTGCAAAGCCACAGTGACGACCGTCCTATTCTAAGGGAATGAGACTTGGCCACTTTGATCATCGTTGTCTGTGAAGCATTGCTGGTGTCGGATAGCACCAGCAACGATGCCATGCGTAAGCGAGTACTAGGCAGCGATAAGCAAGCTAATCCCTTAGAACAGATAGCATTGAATAAGTTGCGTTGGTTGGGGCTCGTATTACACGTATGCTCTATCACCGCTTACCGAGAAGGGGTTTGTTTTGTTTGCTAGATGTAGGGTGGCACAAGGCCCGTGGGCGGAATTTAACTTGGCAGTGGGAAATGAAGTCACTGACGACCAAACTCGGAGTCCACGTGACTCGCCTTGTACGTCTGCGAACCTGGCTCGTAGTCGGCCCCAGTGGCATGTCTGCTATCGTCTGCTAGTCGGACTGCCTGTTTAAAGTGTATTTGGTGCTGAGTTATATGCCGAGTAATGGCTGATTATGACGCGGGGCAGTGAAATTTGCAAGGAAGCTATCTCGCCGATGCCGCCTTATTTTTGCACGATAGCCAGCTGTTCGTGATGGTATGTTGTTGACAAGGTATAGGGGGTCTTGACCCTGCATGTGTTATTTTAGGGCATTAAGCTTTTACGCTAGGTCTTTCTCTCCGTCTTATCGCTTTTTGTTCCGTAGGTCATCATGGTTGTATGGCAGCGAAGCATTCATCCAAATTGTTGATGATTATGACATATGCCGTAGATGGTCCACGCAAGTCGCAGTTCTGATATCCTGCTTACAATGTTTGCTCTTTTTCTGTTCGGTGAAGTACTTTTTCTCTTTTTGCCAGGTACACCACTTATGATCTAGTATCCAACATCGTGCATGATGGCCCCCCAACTCCAGGCTCCGGTTCTCATCGGATACATTTACTCCACCGCGGAACGGGCAAATGGTTTGAGCTGCAAGACTTACACGTCGTCGAACTGTTGCCTCAAATGATTCCCCTCAGCGAGACGTTGATACAGGTAGGCTCCTCTCTGCCATCATTCCACAACTGTACCAACAGCTAGGCATCGGATAATCTTATTAGACCAGCGTGTCGCACTCTGGTCCACTCACTAACATGTTGCTTAAGCGAATGATCATTCAGCCCATCGAGATGGGATAGGTCCGATTCGGATTTGTTCAGTCGCAGAACAAGTACGTTGCTATTGGCAACTGCTACAATAAGAAATGAGACGAGCTGCTTTTCTAGCGCCACCATAGCCTGATGGTTGCTTTGATTCGGTCTATGGTGTTAATTCGTAGCGACGCCTAGCTCTGAACTGTGTTTGGTAGGTTCCCATCTCAATCCTACGACTTTCGTGGCATTATATGTCTACGGAAAACCCTTCTGAAGTCATGGTTACCCGATCACCTCACGTTTACGACCGAAATATTCTTGCCACTTCTCGTTTCGCTGGACAATTGACTGTCAAACTTGGAGCATAAACTGGGTGTGGAGCGCAGCTTTGGGAACAAGATACACCTATCCTTTGTCTAAACTTCAAACGAAATAACGACATGATGCCCTGTTTTCGGGACGCCTCAGGTTGACCAGGCTTCATAACTGCTAACAGGAGCAAAATTAACCTCGGCAATTTTGTTACAAATGTTTCATCGCTACGATGCTGATAATGTCACCTCGATTGGTGATGAAACGTTTGCAAAAAAAATGCCAATCTCATCGAACGTTCAACCGCCATCTGAACAACCTGAGCTACCTGTTTTCGTTTCTGTACACGAAATTGGTCTTATTTGACATTTAACCTGAAAACAACTGGGTCTTGAGTAAAACAATTGCAGCGATCAAAGCGAGCCGTCTAAGCTCACCTTCTGTATGATACGCGCGCGCATACTGACCACCCGTGTCCAGATTGACGAATTATATGGGCCGGGTTGGCGTGCACCTCCCAGTGGGTGCTTGAAATGTACTGTATCTCGGAGCTGTAACGATACTCATTCTATGGTCATTTATCGGATTTTTAAGCCATACTGTTCTAAGAACTAACCCGTTCACCGGACGGTTTCCTAATTCTCAGCAATAAATCCACGCTAGTATCATCGTTTATGACATGATTTTGTTCTTTTTTAGGTTTGGGCCGTGAATAAATCCATTCCAAACCCGCATTATTCCAAACCGACCAAACCAGAGCCTTTGACAAACGAACCATCTCCAGTGAAGATTGATTTTGCAGAACCTGTGAATACAGTCGAAGACAGTACATGACACCAGACTATGTACCAGTGTTGTTCTTGTATATTGGTTTTAAGCTATACATCATTTGAAGCATCTTCAATTACTCTCCATGTACGACAAATGTGTGACTCAGCTTATATCGCTTTAACTATGTGGCTAGTGATATGCTGTTTGTTTCCCTACCGCCCACAGACCGATTTGGCTTCTGAATGCTCATACGACCTGCCATCGTTATTATGTGCACCTCACCAATGCGGAGCAACCATGCAGCGGAATGTCCACGAGCGACGCCAGAGACCAAGAAAAGAACAACACTAATTTGGAGGGTTTCTAAGCTGCACTCCAAGACCGACCGGTTTCGTCCTACTTAGGACAGCTTGATATGGGAGTAGAATTCGCCACACAGTGGTTGGCAGCTGTCAAGCACTGCTCGCGGAGCTCAATTGGCTGGTGACCATGGCGATAGCTGCCAAGCACTATGCGCCGAGTTCCACTCCCAGCTCTGCTATCCCTATGTGATGAGTCCAAACCAAGACGAAACTGTCCGTCGTGGAGTGCATGGATGGGAGAGAGTTACACCTAAACCCTCCACTTCGGTGACGGTCCCAGTGGCCGTATTGGCAGAGGCTGACTTCAAAGTCAACCGAGGCAACAATTGAGATTGCCTGTCGCAATCCAAGACACGGCGGATGTTCCAAAATCTAACACTGTGACTTGTTTCTCCCCCAAAACGTTTACTCAACTTGGCTGGTGAGACCTAGTCACTCAAGAGACCCGTGCCCGTTTGATGAAATGCGGGTTCTCACTAACACATCGGAATTGGGGACTGTCTAAGGAAATGCAGCATGGGTGAACATCGACTCTCGCAGGAATGCACTGCACGCACTAGGATGAACCACTAATGATAAGGGAACTACTCGATCCTGACACGTGTCACAATTGTGACTACAGACTGGGATCCACAAAAAGTCGAGATGAGTCGTTATATACCTCATCCTTCTACAAGTAAAGAACACAGCATTGCATTGAAGACAACATCGTAGATCAGTGATTTGTGATTAGAAAAGTGAGGGATCGAAAGACAAAACGACAAGAAATGCATCAGGATTGGTGCGTAGAAGTTATAAGGTGGCGAAGTTACTTTGGAATGTGAGATCGCATCAAGGAGCTGAGTGAAACCGCCACTAGCCAGTACGCCTAAGTGTAGGTGCATTTTGTTTCAGTTGTAACAATAGGATCCGCATGCGGGACATATCCTTCGGGGAGTCTTTTGAACTGGTGGTCTTCGCCAATGTCGCCGCGGTGTCGTCTCGAGTAGGTGGGACAAAATTGCACAGATCGCACACACGCTCCCAGAGAGATGTTTGGGCGGCATCAGCGCCCGACACAGCAGCAGAAGCGTTTGCGATAGCTTTCTGTTGCGTGCGCAATTGCGCATCGTGTTCTCGGCTGAGTTTGACCGATTTAGACAGTGTATCCCGATACTGAACTCCCCAATTGTGAAGATCCTGACAAAAGAATAATTAAATTATATACTCCTCGACGATGTGAGAAACTGTTCACTAGAAGGGGCAGGTTAAAAGGTCTTACAATTAATTATGCTATCGCATAATCAATTGAAAAATATGAGCACAAAGTTTATGTTTATGCGAGTAACACAAATTAACCAGATGTTCGGGCCTGGGAAAATTGAAACGAAAGGGGCTATGAGCAAAATATATGATATGCAGATGTTCATTTAACCTGGAAGGAAAAAATCGAACTGATTCAACAGATAAGATCCATGGAGCTTAACGGTGTCAAATTGGAAAGTCACATCGTGATTATGCACATCTGTACGAAACGGTGCCACTTGGGTTGCAGAAAAGATCGTTTTCGGCCCTGCAAGCATCCGGTTCTGTTGCACTTTAGGACCGGCATATCGCTGATAGTGTTGGCGCACAGTAGCATAATAAGTTATTATACCAACCATCGTGGAACGTGAACCAACGTCCACGTTCCACGATGCTAGCAGCTTAGCCAATCAATTGGCCACAGCACCATTTTATTCAGCTGTTTCGGATGCGATCCAAATGTCTGACACTACCGAGATTCACTTTAATGTAAATTGCGATCCAATTTGGGGCTGCGCGTCGCAATCCATTCGAACAACGAGTAAATCAAGATAACCCACACCCATGGCGTAAAAACAAATGATTTGGCTGGAGGTCGAGTCGCAGTGTTGTTATCGCTGCCTGACGATTGCAAACGAGTTCGAAACAGGTCGTGAAGTGAAGTGTTTCCGGAAGGCATAAAAAAACTCGACTACTCTAACACCCAGCAAGCGTCTTAGCAGCTTACATGCCACTTCGATTGGTGGGAGCTTCCAAAGGAAGTCGTAGCTCTAGGGGCCATCCCTGTTCTCTGCACGTTCATAGCAGCAGCGCTATATGACAGTCAGATAAGTCATGGCGGCCCGTCGTCGTCGTCCACTGTTCAGTGGCAACATCGCTGACTTGTAAGTGCAAGGTCACGGGTTCGGATCCGACGGATGCGCATTACTGACGAGTCCCAATAGGACGAAACGGTCGTCTGGTGTTTTATTGGGTTACAGTGAATATTTGGCTGAGTCTGGCTACGAGAAACCTTCTCAGAAAACAACATCCCCACACTACTCCCTAATACTCAGAAGGGTTTTGGTATAACAGTTCTGATGGATATACCGTCGAGCATTGTTCGGTGGTCCAACGCCGTATACGACGTTAGGCTGGAAACGTGACTGAAGCTTCGGCTAAAGTCGAGCCCGTACCGGTGTGGATCACAGTGCCAGGCAAGAGAAGACGGTCAGCTGCGTTCTGTATCCGTTGTTGACACGGCTATCGAACAGGACGCCTTGGTTACGCACTTCCTCACTGTATTTTCCAGTAAACCGACGGCGGTTTCAGTACCGGAACAGGTTGCCCCAGTCTTGCTCGACAGCCTACAATGTGATGCAGTCGAAGTGTACCAGCTACTCGTCAACCTCGATGGTGCAAAGCCCCCCGGACCAGACGGACTTCACCCACTAATACTCAAGTCCCTATCGATTATCATCTCACCAGCCGTGACAAACCTTTTCAATAAATCGCTCTCTGAAGGATCTGTCCCGAACGACTGGAAATGCTCGATAGTGAGACCGCTTCCCAAGGGTGGTGATCCGAGTAAAATAGAGAACTATAGACCGATCTTTTTGACTTCGGTATTATCCAAAGTACTCGAGGAGGTTGTGAAAAAGTGTCTGCTATCGTTCTTCGAATCGATGGACGTATTGACGCCAGCGCAACACGGCTTTACGAAAGGGCGATCCTGCATCACCAACTTGATGTACGCAAACCACCAGTGGGTACGAGCTCTCAACGAACGGAAGGATGTTGACGTGGTGTACATCGACTTTAGTAAGGCGTTTGACAGAGTTAACCACGAGGTACTCCTCGGTAAACTGAGGACATACGGAATCGGTGGCACGTTACTTCAGTGGTTACACGAGTTTATTGTGGGACGAAAGTTTAGAGTACAGATCAATGACTACCTGACAGACTGGTTCCCATCGACTAGTGATGTGCCTCAAGGAACTGTACTTGAGCCAGTATTATTTCTTATTCATATCAACGATCTTCCGCAGCAGCTCCAGTCACCATGTGCCATGTGTGGCAGCGCGTACGCGCGGGCCTTACCACGACCGCACTTCGTAGCTTGTGATTGGATGCCCGTCCGTTCGCGATCAATACCAGGGTTGTTTTGAATGTACTGAGTGTATGTACCGTTGGCGTGAATAGAAGTTTGTGTTGCGTACCAGTAGAGTTCTGCTTCCTCGTTCGGGGCTTTGGTCGTGCTTGTTCAAGACCCTGCGTGCAGGGGACTAGTGTACGTGTAGACACAACAGTGGCGTCTGGGCTGTGGACCATTACAATGGCATTTCACCTTCTACCTCCAGAAGCCTTTTGGTGCGATCCTGCTACTAGACCTACGGAGAGTGATTGGATCCAATGGAGAACGTCTTTCACGAATTACTTGGACCTACTCCCAGCAACTACTACTTACGATGAGAAGCAAAAACTGAAACTACTTCGTCACCTGTTGGGCAATGAAGGTCAACGTTATTTCGATGCGTTAGATCTGCAGAAATTCGATACACTTACAAAGGCATTGGATGTACTCGATCAGTCATGGGGTGCACGGCCAAACATTTTCGCTGAACGCTACAAGTTCTGCTGTTTGAGGCAAGAAGATGCAGAGCCACTGGAACAATTTGTCGCTCGTTTAATTCGGTCTGTAAAAACCTGTGACTACACTAGCATCCCGAAGAATAAACTTGAGAGTGTTATGCTGACGCAGCAGTTGATAACCGGTATAAAGGATAATCGTATACGCGAAAAGCTACTTTCCGAAGATCCTTCAAAACTTACCTGGGAGAGAGCCATAGAGATCGCAAGACTAATAAAAGCCGCCGTTGAACATTCGAGCCTATTCAAGTCGAGTGATATACTAGAAGTCAGTAAGATTCAGCACAAGGGTTCCAGTCAACCTCAGAATTCGACTGTTTCGTGCTATAGATGTGGGAGTTCTCGCCACAAAGCTGACTGTCAAACATGTCCGGCTCGTACAGCTGAGTGTAAAAGCTGTGGTAAACTGGGCCACTTCGCCAGATGCTGCCGCTCGCGTCGAGTCGCGTTAATTGACCAACAAAATGATGTTTCCACCTCACCGACTACACCGAATGTTTTTTCTATCAGAAGACGATTACAACCAGAAACACGACGAATTGCTTCGCTGGAACCCAAGCTCCCTGCTCCTGACATACGTACCGTTACACTCCATGGGCTTAACACTTCTGTACCAGTGACTATGGAGCTAGACTCGGCATCGCCGATAACAATTATCCCGTCCAGCATTTACGACAATTACCTGCAAGACATTCCATTACATCCTACGTCGTATAAATTCGAATCGTACACAAATTCACGTGTGCAAATTCGGGGATATATAATGACGAAACTCAGTTTACTCTCAGTCGCATCTGATGTTGCTGTGTATGTTGCCTCCGAAGACAGTCCAGCCTTGCTGGGGCGAAATGCTATGGTTGCCCTCAACATAACACCATCTATCGAGCGAATGCGCATCATGACACTCAAAACATCAGTACTTAAAAGCTTATATCCCAAATTATTTACTGAGTCGATTGGCCGGATTCCATCTGCTGCTCATCGAATATGCCTTAAAAAGGACGCTAAACCGTTTTCGATTTCGCAGCCACGTCCTATTCCATTGGCCAAACGTACGATGGTAGAAAAGGCCATACAAGAGATGATTTCCAACGATTTGATAGAGCCAGTTAACTGTTCCGAATGGGTGCATCCCATGGTCACGGTGTTAAAGAAGGACGGTACTGTGCGCATATGCAACGACTTGAAAGCGTTGAACAGTCAGATCGTCGTCGAAAAATTCGTTCTTCCCACAGTTGACGAGTTGTTGGTCAAGATAACTGGCGCGCGATTTTTCTCAAAACTAGACCTGAGGAAGGCCTTTTTCCACATGCCATTGACACCAGAATCCAGACCACTTACGGCTTTTCTGACATCGAGTGGTCTATTCCAGTACAAAGTCTTGCCGATGGGACTTAGCTCCGCTCCAGCAGCTTGGCAGAAGTTTATGAATCACTCACTAGCAGATCTACCGGGACAAATCGCTTACATGGATGATATATGCGTTTTCGGGAAATCAAGAGATGAGCACGACTCAAGGCTGCGCGCTGTGTTGCAGCGATTGGAGAGCCTAGATCTTCGGCTAAACCTGGAAAAGTGTATATTTTGTGCTACGGATGTCGAGTTTCTTGGGTACGTCTTATCAGCTGGTGGAATTAGGCCATGCGCAGCTAATACTCGAGCTATCACGGAAGCCCCTGTACCGAAGAATACATCCGAGGTTAAGCACTTTCTTGGTTTATGCTCGTACAACTTGCGCTATTTGCCCGATTTTGCAACTATAGCGGAGCCATTGAGAATGCTGACAAAAGAAAAAGCTACGTTCGATTGGGGCTCTTCGCAGCAGTCGGCCATTGAAGAAATTAAAAGGCGGCCCATCTCCACCCCAATGCTGGCCATTTTCGACGAAAACTGCCCAACATTCGTCTCAACGGATGCGTCAAACATCGGTTTAGGAGCGGTCTTGTCTCAAATTCAGAACGGTGAGGAAAAAGTGATTGCATATGCTTCTAGAAAGTTATCCCCTACTGAAGTTTCATATTCCGCAGGTGAAAGGGAGGCCCTTGCCTGTGTATGGGCCTGTGAAAAATGGCACCTGTTTCTGTTTGGTCGGAGATTTACATTGCGCACGGATCATGCTGCTCTAAATACCCTCCTCAGCCGAGGAACCAATGGTCACAGGCCACTACGGATTAACCGCTGGTATGCGCGGTTACTGAACTATAATTTTCAAATCATCTTCCGCCTTAGCTCCGAGAACCGTATGGCAGATAGCTTATCACGTCTCCCATTGGATGATTCCGACAAGAATGAAGACGACGAAGAAAAAGTCATGATTTCTGCTTTACAATCAAGTGAGCTCTCCGCGGTTACTAAACAAGAGCTTCAAGAAGCTAACCGGAGTGATTCATATGTGCAAGATGTCATTCACTATCTCTCTCAAGGCTGGCCTCGCTACGCGAAGTTGAGTGGTGAACTACGGGCGTTTTATGTTTTACGACATGAGCTAGCGGTCGTTGATGATTGCCTTATGCGAGGATCGCGATTCGTAGCTCCACAGAAACTGACATCAAAAATTATCCAATGTGCACACGAGGGACATCCGGGTATCGTACGGACGAAGCGCCGACTTCAAGAATACTTTTGGTGGCCAAAAATGAATAAAATGGCAGAGGCGTGTGTCCGGTCTTGCGATGCATGTCAGAAGGCCGACAAGAGCTCCAAACCAATCGATGCCCCCATCCAACCTGTTACTTATCCAATGAAACCTTGGTCGAAGGTGGCGATTGACATCATGGGACCGTTTCATTCTGCGCCACAGCACCAGAGGAACTGCTTAGTTGCCACGTGCTATTACAGTAAGTGGCCGGAAATCCATTTGTGTGGCGATGTGATCACCTCAACCGTTATACGGTGGCTGAAACATCTGTTTGCTAGATTTGGGTTTCCTGAGGAAATTGTGACAGACAACGGACCACAATTCACGAACTATGAGTTTAAACGTTTCTTACAACTTCGTGATGTGAAGCACGTACATACTGTCCCGTACAACCCAGCTGCCAACGGCATGGTTGAGCGCACTAATCGCACGCTAAAGGAAACTATACAGACAGCACGTTTGTCCGGCAGGCAGTGGGAAGATGCCGTTTTGGAGGCTCTGTTTACTCACCGAACATCGCACCACAGAGCGACTGATCGCACGCCAGGTGAGCTGATGTTTGGCAGGAAGTTGCGTACGAAATTAAACGCAGCTATTTCGGCTGCAGAAAACAACGACCCCCACCAACTGGAACGTCGCCGGGGTTATCAGTCATCCTACGAAAAACGGGCCACATCGCTGCGTCCTGGAACGTTGGTCAGGATAAAGGAGAGGCAAACATGGAAAGGAGAACCGGCACTGACGAGACCCATCAGAATTACTCGTGCGCTAGGGCCAGGAACTTATGAGTTAGCAGACGGCCGACGAGTCAACGCCAGACAGCTATATTCAGCACTTCAACCGAAGCAGTGTCCTGAAGCGAGGGCCACCGCAGTGAACCAACCGCTGAAGAGGAGGAGTAGTGTGGCAGCGCGTACGCGCGGGCCTTACCACGACCGCACTTCGTAGCTTGTGATTGGATGCCAACTCGTTCGCGATCAATACCAGGGTTGTTTTGAATGTACTGAGTGTATGTACCGTTGGCGTGAATGGAAGTTTGTGTTGCGTACCAGTAGAGTACTGCTTCCTCGTTCGGGGTTTTGGTCGTGCTTGTTCAAGACCCTGCGTGCAGGGGACTAGTGTACGTGTAGACACAACACCATGTTTGCAGATTATTTGAAAATCTGGAGGATCATTGAGAACCAGGACGACTGCGCTCGCCTCCAGCATGACTTAGAGCGACTGTCAACGTGGTCCACTGAAATGCAACTCCCTCTTAACGCAAGCAAGTCGGAGTTCATCAGTATCACCAGACGTCCAGGCACTCGATCATAGACCTTGGACGGCCAGTTGCTCCATTCCAACACATCTGTCAGAGACTTAGGAGTTCTCTCACGACATGATATGAGATCACTAGAAAATACAGAAAAATTGTACCGTGCAGCACTTCGTATGCTCTGGGCATTAAGGCGCAGTTTCTCCACGTGGTCCGAAGAAACCGTCCCTCGTCTATACACCTCGCTCATTAGATCTATCCTTGAATACGGTGCCCCTAATGGGAAACTGAAAAGCTGGAGAAAATACAGCATATCGCAACTAGAATGATACCTAGTCTACAAAAGCTTACGTATGAAAAACATTGTGAAAGGCTCGGACTCTACACACTATCCTATAGCCGAGTAAGAATTGACCTTATTATGACCCATCGAGTATTACACTTAAATCACTTCCCCATACTGCGGCCAATATTTCACCTGCGGGAACCCTGTAACACACGAAGACACCGTTACAAACTCAGGGTCCCCAGCATGAACAAAGTATCACATCAGATTTGTATCGAACGAAGAATCGTAAACCTATGGAATACACTACCCGAAGGATTATTAGAGGCCGATTCTGTGAAGTGTTTTAAAACGCGTGTCGACGATTATTTCGGAAAACTGTGCTTTTGTGAAACGATGCACATACAATGCCAAAAGAAGACATTGTATGCCCGGAAATAATGACACCAACACAAATTCCTAACCGAACACGGATAAACGATTAACGGACCAGACACAACTGCTGATGATTCACAACTAAATGTTTTTGATTTTTCGTAATTCGATAGAGTTGTACAGAAACCTTTCTACTTGCTCTTAAATACAGTCTCAGTCTCAGGATTCTGTTGCTTGACTGGATTGTAGTTGGCATAACAGCAATCAAATAACTGAAACACTACTAAGTTTGCTGTGAGGGAAACACATTTGCACCAAATTCCAAGGGGATTTTTCTCTCCAGGATAAAGGTATAATGGGCTTGTGTACCACATTTATGAGGACAATAACGTTAGCTTTGTTTACTCCCTGAATTGTTCACATCTTACTGGAATGCGTTGCTAGCGATCTAATTCCCTGCTGTATGGATGCGAAATTTGGCTAATCAGGTCGACAGACACACAAAGGCTAGTTACGTTCGATCATCGCTGCCTCCCCCGTGGTGGAGCTCTATGTTATCGGGCGCGTCCCCAGGTTGCGGATCGGGGAATGCCTTTCTTGTGGAGGGAACTGCGAATATGTCTCGTTTTCCTTGCAGGCGAGATGAATAAGCAGTCGCGGACAATCAGCGGCAGCGTCTCAGAGCGTGGGGAGTTTTGGGCTGGTCGCTTGGTTCTCCATTAAATACCATAAGTGCTCGTACGGCGTTGTGTCAAAGACAGTGTGACTGGCTGTAAGGTCACTGTCCACTAACTCCTGTAACTGGGGGTGTGTATCTAACGAAGGGCGGACTAACAACGTCGCTGGCCACCGGCTTCTCTGTGGACTGCTTCCGAACACAAAGAAGGCGAATGAGCCATTTGGATACCAACGGTCTTCGTGAATAACCCCGCCGCCTTGCGAGTCAGATCTTTAGACCAAATGCTCGGGGTGGGGTCCCTTAACCCTCTACCTCGGCCTGAGCAACCGGGAAGCTCAATGCTCACACAACACATTGCTTCCATTCTTCTGACCAACTCTTCTTTTTGTCATTGTTACTCATGTGTTGTGGCACTCCGCCAAATGTTTATTGGGCAAGTGTTTTATATATATATATATATATATATATATATATATATATATATATATATATATATATATACCGTTGCCTCCGCAACTTAGCTCATGTCTGGTGAGAACACCACGTGAGCAATGAGCGTGTTCAGCGTCGCATATTTGGTGCAGAAAGAGCGAGTAATCTGCTCAGCACCACGTACCAGGCTCCCTCGGCTGGGCGACGTGTTGCGCATGCCAGCAAATGAACTCACGCGTCGTGCGTTTTTCGCGCGACCAGAGTCTGGACAGAAGAGGAGGCCGAGCGATGACTTGATCAAGAGGTATGAAGATCCTCACTTCGAAATTGGCGTCGGTTGTCGTATCCCACTCGCCGGGCTGATGTCCCAAGAACGATGACTTTTGGTTGGATACACTAGTTGACATGCAGAAGATCGGCCCCGATGGTGTTTGAGTTGCTCTGTCCCTCTCCTCCTGCTTATCTTCCCTCTCCGACCACGTTTTCACGTTGTGTTGCTTAAAAAAGTTAATGTGTCAGCTGTACGCCGTAACGGCGCTTCACAGCCGCGCGACAACGACCAGTCGCGCGTGGGCTGAATGTTCCGCGAGGACGCCCGACCCCTACGCAAATTCCAACCAGTGACCTTATGACTGCAAGTCAAGTGTGCAGACCACTCGGTCACCGGCCGACCGTGATGCTTACTAATAGGACACCAAGGATCACATTACGTTTGGTGGTTTTATATTGTATTCCGTAGTGTTTTGTATCTCATTTTTCATATATCTCATCTTTTTTTACTGCGGTACGTTAGCTGTTCAGCTAGCGTGTTTTGAGGATAATGGTCGTCATAATTAGCCTAACTTAAACACTAAACCATTGCGATTTACGTGATTCTGAGACGGTACTTGGTGGAGCTAAGACGCCAGAGAACCAGTAGCCGAGGATGGCACTTCAGACAGCTTTAATGGGGTTCTAACCAACACTTACTTTCATACCGTTCTCTTCTAACTGCGCTATTTTCTCCCGTTCTGCGTTATCCTTCACTTTCAACCGATTATCAAACTCAATCCTCCACCTCGTGATGCACTCGGGCTCATTCTGTGTTTGGTCACAAAATACAGCGCCCGAAGTCTGTTGTTCATGCAAAGCCGAGGTGTCTAGAAAACAAATGATGATAGAAGGGAGCATCAATTTACCTGTGTGTTGCCCAGATGATGGCTCCATTTGAGGAATGACACATTGTTCGTAGCCATTCAAAGAGCCGTTCTCTGGTGATTGGTTGGAATACATAAAATCCGAGCTAAAACACAAAATGCGTATTTTCATCGAAGATACGAGTACCATGTGACAAAAATGGCATTTTCATGTGGAAATTGGATGGTTCCCGCCCGAAAATACTCCATATCACGACGCATTTCGATCTCATCAGGTATAGATAGCAGGTCTCGAACCCAGGACCATTAGGATGTTAGTTGGAAACTCTTCCCCTTTGGCTGCTGGATCACGACGGGCAACGCTTGGCACAACGGTTAATGATCGAGTGCAAGGTCATTTTTTGGAGTACTCATTGTGTGATTGGATGGCGTCACGCAATTTCAATGTACACCGTGAGTCGTACTGAAGTGAACCTCAGTAAAAACGACCACTGGGATCATAGCCGAAGCAGATGGAAATTGGGTGTCGCCGCCCGAAAACACTATATGATTTCGAAAAATTTGAAAGCAGTCACCGTGTATTTTCGAACTGTACGTAACCGTGGTCAAGAGACGCGACACATACACCCCAGGGCTTTCAGTTCAACCATGAGCGGTTCGTCCATTGCCCACACGCAGAAACTTCGGTAAAGTAGGAATCAGGTGATCATTTCTGTTCGGATGGGGAACTATGTGATGAACTGTGAGTAGTGGAATGCGACTGCGTTGTAACGAGTCGAAATGTCAGCCAACAGAAGTTTATTGTGCTCAATCAGTTCAGCTAAAACAAACTATGATTCGGGTACCGAAGCGCGGCGGATTCAGCTGCCTAACTTGCGGCACTAGGAACACGGTAAAGATGGTGAAATAATGGGTTAACATGCAAACAGAATACAAAAAAGTTGCAAAGTGCATAAGGTGAATTGGCATGGAATATTAAAAAACCGGGTGCAAGAAACTGAATGACTGCATTGTGCGCCCTTGACTATTCCAGTGATACAGACAGATTTCTAGCGTATTTCGGCCGCACAAACCCATGCAGTGTGCGCACTTTTCTTGGAGGGAAATACTGTCCGCGCCCAACGCAAATTGGTTCCCAAGACATTACAACCCGGTACAACTATATACAATTTACTATATAAATTAGCAACAGACATCGAGCCATCGATAAAACCATGGGGAACAAAAGAAAGAGAGTACCGGCGTCAAAAAGTGAACGAATCCTTGGCATTTTGGCTCTTTTTTGCTTTCACACTCCATTTTTGATCATTTTGATTGTTAGGGCTTTAATCACATTGTTCAAAACATTTAAATATACAATCTTTCCACTGATTCCGGTTTCGCGCCTTATCACCTAGTGGGTCGAACCAATGGCAATCTTCATCCTTGGGTCCCCAACTAGGGAGACGTACAGGGCCAACGATGGCTAGACAGGTCAGCGATTTCGTGGTTGGCTGACCTCCACGCGTTCTCTTCCAATGCAATCCAATAAGGCGCGTCGTCGTAAGCGCTTGCATGACATGCGTAGGACGTGGCCAAGCCACCTCATTTGACGCAATGCAACAAGGTGACTAAATGGAAGGCTCATGTCTTCCAAGATGCGACACTAGATTTCATGGTTGCGAATCCGGTGTTGCCACTACACACGGGCTATCCCTCCGCAAACACGTATTGTCGAAGACCGAAGGTCAAAGCATGTCGTCCACACGAATCGGCCAGAACTCGCTTCTGTACGACAAGACCGCGCGAAAACAAGCGTTGCAGACCTTTCCTTTAACACTAGAAAGATCGCTCCGCCGTTATATCTAGAATTCCCGGGACCAGTCAGACTCATCACCATTATACACGTCAGCTAGAGGAAAAGGAAAATAAATACAACAGTTGCATGCCAGCTGAGCTACGAGCAACGGATAGGCATCGTTCCGGTAAGCTACCAGCCGGCTACTAGGCAAAAGAAAAATTATTATGTTTTACGCTAATAAATGAGATCGTAGATGGATAGGAGGCTAAAAGGGATGGGGAGGAACAAAGAAACTCACAACACGAACGCCGCTGAGGTCGGCTCCTTGCCATGTCAGCAAGTGTATCTAGCCAAACGTGTTCATCGTCTTTTGGACTCCAAACAAGGAGCCGAGACGCTCCAACCGAGGCCAGCTCAGAAGTGAGGGCCTTCATTCCTCTGGACCAAGTCATCGCTTGGCCACCCGTCTTATTTTTCCATCCACATCCTCGGTGAGCAAACAACGCACATCGTGGAAGTCGATGGGCTGGCATGCGCAACACGTGGCCCAGCCATCGGAGCTTGGTGCGTGAAATAACGGTGCTGAGCAGTTCATTTCCATTTCCCGTGTCGTAAACAAGGCGTCGAACACGCTCGTTACTCACGCGGTGTTCCCACCAAATGTGAGCCAAACTGCGAAGGCACCGATGGTCGAACGTAACTAGCCTCTTCATGTCCGCCGATCTTAGGGGCCAGGTTTCGCAACCGTACAGTAAGGTCGAACGTACCGCTGCATTGTACACTCTACCTTTCAGGGTGAGAGTAATGTCGCGCCGACGAAATAGGTGGCGAAGGTTAGTAAAAGCACTTCGAACTTTTGCTATACGGTTCGTGATCTTGTCTTCGATCCCAAGGGCGCTGATACAACTTCCCAGGTAGTTGAATTTCTGAACGACTTTTAGCTGATACCCACCAAGGGTCAGCGCAGGAGGCGATCCTTGCCAATCTTGGGGGAACGCTTTGCATTTCGATGGTGCAATGCAAAGCTCGAAGCGGCTGACAACCAGTGTTAATCTGTCCAGCGCGGTTTGGCACGTCTGAGAGCTGTCACAGATGAGGACAATGTCGTCTGCATACTCTAAGTCAAGAAGTCGTTCTCTTTGGAGTAGCTCCACACCTTCCAAGTCATGTCCTGTAAATGCAATCTCCATGACTTCGTCAATAGCAAAGTTGAAGTGGAAAGATGACAACGGGCATCCTTGTCTCACACCGCTGGAGATATTAAAGGGTGGCGATAGCTTGCCGTAAGCTCTCACTCTGTCCGTGTTACGCGCGTATAATGCTCGGATAATATTTACGTATTTCTCTGGCACACCTTTCCTGAGTAGAAAATTCCAAAGGGCACTTCGATCAACCGAATCGAAGGCACCTTTGATGTCGAGGAACACGACTAGGGTGGGCCGCCAATATGTGTGACGGTGCTCCAACAACGGAAGTAAGGTGAAGATATGGATGATGCAGCCACGACCCCGACGAAATCAGGCTTTTACGAGCGCCAGTCAGTCTGTGAAGGGTTATGGAGGCAAGTACTTTGGAGGCGATGGAGATCAGACTGATTCCTCCATGGTTGCCGCATTCCGAACGCGAGCCTCCTTTGAATATGGGAACAATAACGGAGCGGATCCAGTCGGTTGGGACAGTCTTCTGCTCGCACAGTTTCACTAGTAATTCGTGCAAAGCATCAACAAGAGCACAGGCTCCGAATTTCAAGAGGGCTGGAGGAAAACCATCAGGTCCCGCGGCTTTGTTCAACTTCAACAGTCCGATCTCACGTTCCTTCTGAGCGAGAGGGTGGATCCAAAGGGACAGCCCATAGAGCAAGTTGATCACTGGCCGGCGAATCGAACAATTCTTGCCGATTAAATTGCTTTTCAAAATGCTCAGCCGAACGCTCCAAATGTTTTGACAAGTTGTGGATAGGCTGTCCACTCTCGTCACGTATAGTTTCACTAACACCAGGTCTCCTGCTGCCCGTTTCCCGTATCAGACGGAATAACTTACGATGGTTTCCGAGGGCAGCGGCCACTTCCATCTCTGTCGCACGATGAGACCACCAGGATTCGCGGTCTCTCTTCAGGCTAGCACGGAGTTTTGCCCGGAGCTCTTTGCGAGTTTCATTGTGTTCGCTTCCAGTCGGGATATGCCGGCGAGCGTCGATAAGTTCCAGAGAGCGCGAAGAGACCCAATGTCCATGTTGGCTATTAGACATACAACATGAGGATTTGCCTGCTGCTAGTAAGGTCTGGTGAACATGTGACCATTTACCTTCAATTGTCTCCAGTGAGCGATTACTCAACTTACATGTCAGCGTACTTCGATGCGCATTCAGAACAGCTAGCTTTGTCAGTTGGCTGGTGTCAATGCGCTCACACCGTCGTCATAGGCGTTCGCCAAAACGCATCCGCAGATCAGCATATACAAGTGCATGATCGGTGTCCACACTTGTGCTCCAAATCGAGCGACAGTTCTGGATGCAGCCTCTTCATCGGTAACTTATCGCAATGTGATCGATTTGCGTCCATAGCTGGTTCGAGGCTGGTGGGCGTCAAGTCACCCTCCGGCGGGTGCTGTGTAGGAAGTTAGTGTTCTCAAGAAATAAGCGGGCATCTTCACACAAATGAAGTAACCGCTCACCGTTTTTATTACAGGAGCCTACACCGTGCTGACCGCCCAGATGCATTTCATCAGTGGACAACTTTCCAACTTGTGCGTTCAGATCCCCAGCCAGCACAACAGTGTCCGTGCTTCTTCTGTGGCGAAGGAGCTGGGTGAGTTGGCGGTAGAAGTTGTTCTTTACCGATTCATTGTTACAGTTTGTGGGCGCGTAGGCAGCGATGATGAATAGACACCTGTTAGTCCCGCGCGACTTCGAAGCTTTAAACGAGCCAGCCAATCGAACCGCACATATCCGGCTGCTAATTGGAATCCAGTCAACCAGAGCAGCTTCAGCCCGGGGACTCAGGGTAATGGCAACACCAGCATCGCCGGTGCTCGAAGCTGCATCATCACCGGATGGGCGCAATGAGAAAATACTGTTTGCGTCACCTGAAGGGGATCGCTGAGTGAGCACAGAGCTCGAGGCTTGCAGGCGGGTCTTCGATAAGCAGCAGATATCGATCGAGATGTTCTCTAATGTTCGGGCAAGTGCTGCCTGTTGGCCGATCTGTAGCAGTGTGCGTACATGGAGGCATGCCAATCCGAAGGAGGATCGAGGGCTCCAAATGGAAGCCGATGAACTGGAATGGACCGCTTGGTTGGATATGGGCTTGTCGACAGAAGAGGAGTGATGCTCCGCGTTAACATGTGAGTTGAAATTAGAAGATAAACGCCTAGGAAAGCATGTTGGTGGAAGGCCAAGAATCGGGGGTTGAAAACTGGGGAGATAAAAGTGAAGTTGGAACGGGACGGTAAGAGTGAAAAAGCGTAAGAGGGGGAATAAGAAGATGGGAAGGCCTGAGCAGTGGCATCCAAACCCCTATCCACTCTGCTCGATGCAGCAGATAAGGTACCGTTGATTATCCTCTGTGGTGGCCAGAACATCAGAAATTTGTTTGAAAATTCATTGTATTGCGTGGGCAGGATACTGTCAGGTTGCCTAGGCCTAGACAGGAGAACGATTAGGGTTCTCAACCAAAGCCTTTGGTTCAAAAACCTCCTCTCAAGGCAGCGGGTTTGGCGTTGGGCTACAAGGACACCCCAACCTCCAACCTGGAAGAGGCTGAGTTTGTCTGGCCTCTAACCATTGACCAATCTGGTGACTCTGAAGATGCAAAAGCACCACCCAGCATAGCTCAATGGATCGCTGAGGCACACAAACCATTGCACCACGGTAAGGTCGTCTCATTACGATATTTTTTCAATATACTTATTAAACACAATGCGTAGAATATATCTGTAACGCAAAAATAATAGAATTGAACTTTTATTTTTCAAAACTTGAAGTCTATTGTACTTGCTTATTGAGATTGGTATTTGAAACAGGTGGTCACTCTCAATCTGTCCACATAAGCCACGAGCCATTATTTTCACATACAGAGCACTTGATCTTTGACTTGTTGCCTGTACAGTAACCAATCTGACATTGCCGACGTTTACTCATCTCACGATTTTCCAACTGCGTTAAGTTGTCCGGCGTAAGCCCAGTTGTCACGTACCTTATATGATGTATGGATCCATGCAGTTCTTCCGCAAGACTCATCAGATACGATCGGCGGGATAATTTATTTCCGGAGACACTATTATAACTTATCCAGGAATTAATGTCAACCAAATCCAGCACACTGAGATGATGACTTGACTGTGAGTGCTCCTACCGAGTATATTTACCTAGTACTTTGTCGAGTTGTAATACAATGTAGTCCCGGGCTTCATTCAGAGTCAAATAGAAAAGTTACGGTGCAAGGAACTAAAAACAAAAACGCTTTTATTCCTCTTACAATGGTAGGATGTTAATGTGTGCTTATTTTTATTCTCCACTGCGGTTCACGATGTGTACCATCTTTCAATATGTGAACTTCACTGGAAGATGCAGAATCGGGTGATACACTCTCATTACTGTCATCACGAGGTGTGTTACTCTCAAAACTTTGACTATCAGAGATGCTGTGATCTTTTGCCGACTCCTGGAAAGTGAAGTCTTCAACAACCTCATATTCATTCTCGTCTTCATACTCGTTATAATCGATGGCTGTAGGTTCTCGTAAATCCTCAAAAGCTGTTCTCCTACGAGCCATTGTGTATCAATGGCACTGAAATTTTTCAGGCCAAAGGCACAATATCACTGGGAAATCGTGAATCGTCTAGTTTTCACTCCGTTTTGTCTGATATTGCACATAACTTTGTAGGCAATAATAGGGTCGACTGAAAATGAATAAAGAAACCGAATTAAAGGAAAGCGGTCATTTTTGACCGCTAACAGGATTTCTCGGTAGTACGAACATTACTTTTTTTACTTGAAAACCATAACAGAAAGGATAGTGAAACTTCAGTTATGAAGTCTAAAAATATTAAAAGTCACGATATATCTTTGAAAAATGTTTATAAGTGTAGAAACTATACACATTTGAGAACGCCGAACGGCCATAATAACTGCTCTAAACGTTCTAGTGTTAAGGAGAGGAAATGTCCCGACGACGCCAAAAATGACTCAGATTGATAAAAGCCCACCGCGCTTTGGCGATGCGAAGAGATACCTCCTTTTCAAGAATGCCATCAGCAGAAATACAGCTCCCGAGGTAGCCAAAGTTAACCACGAGCTCTAGTTGTGTTCCTTCAATGGTAAGTGAGGGGACAGACGACTTCCAGTCCTGGAGTAACACTTTACACTTCAAAGGAGAAAAGCGCATACCTGGACGTTTCAAATGCCAGACGGTACATTCTGTGAATCGTCGCCGAGCAGAGCGATATCACCAGCATAGTCTAAGTCGGTCACACGAAGAAGAAGCTCAACACCCCAGAGCCACCACCAAAGGAGGTGCCATGTAAGCTGCTTAGGCGACCACTGATTGTTTGTAAGTGGTAGGAGGATTTATTGATGGCGGCTTGCAAGGGAAGCCGTTTTTCTGGGGGCCAGCCCAGTCCTCTGCACGTTCATAACATGCAAGACAGTGGAGGATGAGTCGCGCTACGTTGCAGTTAGATATCAGTCATAGCGGTCCGCTGTCGTCGCCCATGGCTCAGTGACAAAAGTCGCTGACTCGCAAGAATAGAGTCGTGGGTTCGAATCCGGCAGGATTCGGCGAGTGCACGTTACTGACGAGTCCAAATAGGATGAAACGGCCGTCTAGCGCTTTCCTGGATGTGTGGTGGCTGTCTGTCTGAGTCTAACTGCAACTAATCTACACAAAAACCCAATAAATCCCCCTACTACTTAGAAAACCGGGTTAGGAAGTAGAATCAACGGAGCGGGGGTTGACAACAAATGAAGAGTTGACGTGTGATGGAAGTTGGCAAGCGACAGAAGCAGGAAGTAAATTCATGGATTTTCACAGCGGACATGCTCCTATTCGGTCACCCAGGCCGAGGTAGGGAGTTGACTTGAGGGACTCTGCCCGAGTCTTTGACTCAATAGCCTAACTTCAAGGCAGCAGAGCGAATTCAGTAAATCATGTCCACCAGGAGCCGGTGACCGACTACTTGGTCCATACAATTTTTGTTTGGCAATCTGCCAAACTGAGGCCTAGTCCATGTAGTAATTCAGCCTGAAATTCTGGAATTATAATGCTTCTATGAAGAAAAGCATAGCGAGTCGCATCCGCCACGTCACAGCGTTGTGAAACGGATATTTGTGGCTTTTTACAGGGAGAACGCTTGTCAGGTGAAAACCCATCATATCCTGGAACACTGCCGCCGAACTTATCGCTGTAACGAGGCAAACCTGAACCACCCAACTGGCAGCATGAGGTAGTTGAGAAAGCCATATACAAGGCTACACTCGAAATTATTAACTGATCGAGTTGCGTCGGAAAAATGTCTCGCTGTGGCAACCAAGGTTATACAAATCGGCCACTCAGTTGAAGTCTATCGGTCACTCACACTGTATGCAAGTACGATTTTACTCAATAAAAAACGATGTATATGTTGTGGCCTGCAGCATTAGCAATGCATTATAGTATTTAGTTTTATATTCAGAAACATTGTTACTTATTATTTTAATTTTTTCGTTTTTATGTGACAAGAAACACGCCGAAATGAAACGACTAGACCTCGATAGGATGCTAATCTCCGATTTAAAAGAAATTCTAGGTACTCTGTAGGAAGTCGCCGATACAAACATTTGTGCTGTATCGTAAGAAAAACATCCTCCAAAAGGCCGCCAAACCCCAGATTCCTGTTCGCTTCACACGCGTAGACCATTCTTGATCAGCTTAGCGGCTGCATTGACACTTTCGAAATATTAATTTGGTACATAATGCCCATTTGGTTGTCAAATCAGAAAAGAAACGTAATCAGAACGCTTAGGGTGAACAACTGTTTTCGATTTCGTTTCCATCAGGTCTGGTATAGAAATATCCTTATAACAAGCAGGTTTGTGGTACATTATAGTGACACACCATTGATACGATAAAACTAAACGTAAAAAGTTCTCGTAATAAGCGTCAGGTGATTGGCAGCATGTAGGATTGATGGGCGGCAGCAAATTCCTCCCGTGTAGTTGATGCCCATAGAAGTTGTAAGTTGGAATAAGCCACTTTCGGATGCAGAGATTAGGCTTCGTCAGTCTTATGCTTACTGCTTCAGCAGTAGCAAGGAGTCGTGCTGCTAACTGATGGGTCAAGTGTGACGGTACCTTATACAGGATTTCGAAAACACTACTTTTGTCAGTATTGTGCTTAGTGGAAATCAGACGGTTAGTAATTGCACTTAGATTAGATCTGTCTCTGTGGTTGGTGAGCGGATTTGGTAGGTGCTCTTTGATTCGATTTTCTAAGAACCTGGTCGTACGTCCAATATACCTAGCTCCACAGGAGCAGGTGAATCGGTATACTATATTTGATTAGAGACGATCAGGTACTTTGCCTTTGAATCTAGGGACAACCAACGATTCGCTCGTATAGACCACATTGATTTCAGCTGCCTTGAAGGTATTCCTGCAGGCTTGCATCGATCTTCGTGTACAGATCTCAGCCGCTTTGTCACACTTGAAGGGGATCGTAAGGAAAAACTGCTTTTTCTCAGGCGTTTGCACTGTTGGCTTCGGGTCTTTAGGTCTCATATGCGTGTCAATAAAGCGTTCTGGATAGCGAATCTTAAGTAGTGTGCACTTGATTCGTTCCAGTTCATTTGCAATCGTGTCTTCGCTACAGATCTTGTGGATCAGTGTTCTTTTGCGGCTGAGGGACACAAAGCTCTGGAAATGCACATACTGCCCTGTCCAGTATGGCTCTCTGTACTGTCCTAACTGGATTGATCTGTCGACTCTCCTCTTCAGATTTACATCCAAAAGGTTCAAACGGTTGTTGCCTTAACTGAGGCATTAAGATGTTCGACGACGTTTTGAAAGTTGGTCGTCCAATTCACTATGCAGAAAAGGTCGTCTATGTAACTTCGATAGTACTTTAAAGTTGAAATGACCGGTTTCAGCTATTCATTTTTCAAATCAAAACCAAAATGTAGCGCAACCTTGACACACACCAGTGCGTGATCCGAAGTGAGATAGGTGCTCCAGATTGATTTGCAATCCTGTATGCTACCCCGCCAGTGATAGCTAATGGCGATGTGGTCAATTTGTGTCCACGGCTGGCCAGATGATGTGGGTCTCCAGGTGGCGCGTTGGCGCCAGGATCCCCGAAAGCTAGTACTCGACAGAGAGGCCGTGATCGGCGCGAAGCAGAAATAGTCAATCAATGTTGTCAGTTATGCGAGTGCCATGGCCGTGTTGACCACCGAGTTCACGTTCGTCAACTTCAAATCTACCGACCTGCGCGTTTAAGTCCCCGGCAAGCATTAAGATGTCAGTACGGCGCTTTTTACGGAGAAGGTCGGCCAGTTGATCACAGAACTCCTTTAACTGACTCCAGGCTGCAATCTGTGGGAGCGTACGATGCGACAATGAGTAGACAGCGTCTGCTGGCTTCGCGCCTGGACAGTCGCACTTAAGTTTCAAGTCGGATCGCACATAGTTGACTGTCCAGTTTAGTAGTGCGGCTTCAGCACGTGTGCCCAACACAATCCCCACGCCAGCATAAGCAGTGGCTTTGGGGGTTGAGTCTCCAGATGGGCACAAAGTGAAAATGCCAGTGGAATTCGCAGACAATGAAACTAACCGCAGCGTCGTGCCAGAGTCCTTTAAATGAGTCTCGCTGCGACAGCAGACATCAATGGCCGTAGTTTCTAGAGTACAAGCAAGAGCTGCCTGTGATCCAATCTGCATCAGTGTCCGAACATTGAAGGTTGCCAGCTTCAATTGGGAATGAGTGCTAGAAATAACTTGTCAACACGACTTGGCGCATCTTCGGACCTAGGCTCCTTCCTGATCCGCATAGCGAGAACGTTCGTTCAAGGCGGCACGATGTTGTGAACTCGAAAACGGAGAGGGAAGACCAAGAACGGTGGGTTGAACAAACTTGGAATAAAGTGACTAAACGGTGGTGCGGTAAAACGTGGTTTGGCAGATTCAGCCATCAGCACGTCGGCCGATGAGAGCAGTTCGAGAGACTGAGAGCAGATAGAGCGAGAGCGGAGAACGAGCGAAGAGTTGTTGTAACATGGATACGCAGGTTGTGTGGGCATAGTACTTCTCGGTTGCCCAGGCCGAGGAAGAGGGTTGACTTAGGGGACCACACCCGGAGTCTTGGGTCATAAACACCTAACCCACAAGGCAGTGGGACGATTGACGTATACCTCGACCGTTGGGAGCCGGCTATCTAGGTGAACGGCTTTAGAGTAGAGGCAAACTACTCAGGGCGCCCAAAGAGCCCCAGTGAAGCAGCAAGCACTACCGAGCTCGCCCAGAAGCACGGAGGCAATTGACAGCTGAGTGGCTCATACGCCTTCATAAAAGCCTGTGGCCATCGAGGTTCCTCATCCGCCCTCCGTTAAGTACTCTGTGACCAGAAGTGAGTGGTCAGTGACCCTATAGCCAGTCACATTGGCTTTGACACAGCGTCCTGCGAGCTCTTGTGATATTTAATGAGGAACCAGGTGACCAGCCCAGAACCCCCCATGCTCTAGGACGCTGCTGCTGATTGTCCGCGACTGCTTATTCATCTCGTCTGCGAACAGCCAAGACTTATTCAGAGTTATCTTAACAAGGAAGGCGTTCCCCAATCTGCAACCTGGGGACGCGCCCGGTAGCGTACAGTTCCGCGAACCAACCAGTAGTCAATTCACTTCACGCCAATCACCTGATCATCTGACGCT